ATGAGATCAGGAACAGGTCTTTCCTCAAATGGCTCTGCCCTCACCCACCTTCCATCCCCACAGGCCAGCAGGGCTCCAGCCCCACAACTGCAGTGATGTGTTTACATGGTTACCTTGGGAGAATCCAGCTCCTCCCTCTCGTGTCCATTTTAACAATCAATATGAAAGAACCATAGCTGACAGCATTTCTGGGGAGTAGAAGCTGGCTGGGCCGTGGGAAGGAAGGGGGGACAGAGAGCAGATGGAAAATGCAGGCAGAGAGAAGGTGGTTGATAGGAGGGAGGAAGAACCACCACAAAGATTTTAAGAAAGTTTGTTTTAAACAACGTCACTTCCCTAGGAGAAGGAGAAGGGCTTTCTTCTATTTCGGTTCAAATTTGAATTTTTAATATCAAAGGTCAGTATAATAATGAAAACTTGAGGAAGCTTCCTGCTCACACAGTAGGAACCTTGTTCTGGTAAACTCTTTGACCTTTGCATTCCAAATGTAGCTAGCTCAAGGTCCTGGGCCCCAGCCCTGCAATCAGATCTATGTTGGTAAGACTCTTGCCCCTCATGGAGTCTGGCTGACATCGGTGGGTTTCCATGTGAGTGCAAAGGTCCTCCCTCTCACACCACAGATCAGATTGAAGGATTAGGGCTGTGATTAGCAGGAAGCACCCTCAAATTCTCATGCTATTTATACAGCATGATAGATATGTATAGCACTTTAAAGACAATTAAGAGAAAGAGTCCGTGCCAGAAGAACCATATAGATCATGGTCCCTTTAAAGTAGCTATTAAAAGTTCCACTGGATTCAGTGGGTACAGGATCCAGCCTTAATAAGACACCACCAGAAGGAGAAAAGGCACTGAACAAGAGGATGCGGTAAGGGTGGAGGTAACCCAACAGAAGGTAGTGAGAATACATGTTTGTGATACAGCCTCAGTTTTATGAACAATACTTTGATTGTATGGCTATCTTAAAATGTATTAGGCTGTATGTTTGTTTTTGCTTAGGTTTTATATTATATATAATAATATATAATAGCCATACAATCAAAGTATTGTTTATAAAACAATATAACATATAACATATATACATAAATAATGTGTGTATGTTTGGCTGTTTATTTTTAGACCAAGTAGCAGATGAATGACAAGAGATCACTGAAGTGTAGGAGGGTATTTGTTTATTTCACACTATGGAACAGATATTTTTCTCCTATATATTTTGGGATCAGCACATGTCATATCCCATTGCTATGGCATAAATATAAAGATAGATAAACACACACAGGTGTGTGTCTGTCTATAGATATCTATTTATATAGGTTATATTTATACAAACTCAGCACGTGTGATGATATCCAGGTGATTAATTGCAGAGCTAGGTAGTAAACGGCATTTATCATGCACCTTTGACTGCCTCACCTGCACTCTGCCCACTCCCCCAATCCTCACTGCAACATATTCTAACATTCCAAACTTCCAAGAAGCTTCAGAAGTTGACATTAAACACCCGTGCGCGTGCGCGAATGCGCGCACACACACACACAAACACGTACGTACGTAAAAACTGCCAGAGAAACATTCCCTCCTTCCCCCAGGTATGGACTTTTTTCCCAAAACTGCACTCACCTGATGTGCAGGTTGGGAAGATTCAGTCCAGCACCAGTAAGGTTTAAGGACAGTATCTCATTACCCATCATGACTAGAAATTGGAGCATTTGTCCCATGATAGAGGAAAATCTGTCTTGCCAATGGATACAATGTTTGCTCCAAAGCACAGGTAGGCTGAGACATATGACTTTAAAACGGAGACATTTTAACAAACATGTAGGTAATGTTTAGAGGCATTTTAAATATAATAGTTTTAATTTTTCTCTCCCTCAGTTGGGCTCATGGGTGTTCAGGCAATTAGGTTTATAGGTAAGAGGATGCAAGAAAAAGTAACAATAAATTTTAAAAAACCCTCGCAAATGTTTTCAGAACAGCTTTCTTGTAAAGTATGTGGCAGATACAAGATATGTGAGTGTCTGTGGCGGGATCACATCCTTAAAACATATACCATAGATTCCTAGATTCCAAGGCCAGAAGGGACCATTGTGATCATAGTCTGATGTACAGGCCAGAGAAATTCCCCAGAATAATTCCACCATAACAGTATGTGGTCCCTACATATACACAGATTTACTTATTTATATAATTTCTACAATTTATAGCTATCAGTCGATAATCAAGCCAATACTGCGAATGAAACTGACAATCAGAGAAAGCATCTAAATTAAACAGAATTGGAGTCTCTTTCGAAGGATCCTTTAAATGAAAGAATTCTGCTGAAGACTCCATAGCATTTATTGAGAACACCTCAGAGCAAGACTCAAACTGTGAACAAAATGGAAAATCTCAAAGAGCTCTCAAAATTAATTAGAAAAATTAAAACAATTTTGAAAGAAGAGCCTCTTTGGAATGGAAGTTCATTCAGCTGATGAGCTGCTACTTTAGGGAGGTTTCAGAGTAGCAGCCGTGTTAGTCTGTATCCGCAAAAAGAAGAACAGGAGTACTTGTGGCACCTTAAAATTTGTTAGTCTCTAAGGTGCCACAAGTACTCCTGTTCTTCTTTTTACTTTAGGGAGAACCATCTTGCCTTATGTCCTCCTGTGTTTGGCATGAGGCAACACTTCATAAAAAAGCAACTCATTCTCAACTGAGGTAAAAGTGACTCATTACAGCTGAACAAAATTCTTTCTTTGGGTTACAGAAAATAACATTACTTTTTTCTGCACAATAAACTATTTGTTTACCTTGATAAACTGTGCCTCCCGGACATACCAGGTTATCTCTGTGTGCTGATTTTCCACCAGGTGTTAAAGTTAGTAAAGAAAGGTTGAGGAAATAGCATTAAAAACCCTGACAAAGATTCCTATCGGACATACACCCATGCACATGTACACGCTGCTTTAGAATTCTGAGCATGGCCTTTCTGATTGGCTCTGGGCAGTATAGTTGTAGCTGTGTTGGTCCCAGGATATTAGAGAGACAAGGAGAGACAGAAGTTGGTCCAATAAAAGAAAATACCTCCCTCACCTTGTCATTCTGATTGGCTGTCAAGTCCTCCAAGATGAAAAATGCCCACTAAATGCATTTAAAATGTTCACTTCCTTTGGTTACCAAACCATACCACCACCGATAGGCCATACATTTCTAAGGAATTACTAAACTGTCAAGGAGTTAAAGTTACTCGTCCTTTGGTATCTTGTCTCATAACAATATCTAAGATGTATAATAACTATCCATAAATGCACTGTTTCATGTTTTCTAACTATGGTAAGGTTTTCGATAGCACCCATCATCATAGCATTGAAGCACTGATTCATTTTGTTGTTGAACCAAAAGAAATATCTTCAAACATCTCACTGTGAGCACACAGTTTTGACCACTGCCCACGTTTCCCCCTGACTTCTTGAACATGCATGTGGCTTCAGTCACAAACATGTGCAGTGCTGTCTGTTAATCTCAAGACAGCAATCACAAATACACACGATCATGAATAGGCGGCAGCAAGTCTGTGTCAGTGCAGTCACATGTATGCACAATGTCCTTTATTTGTCTGTGATGCTTAAGAGAGAGTCCCCAAAGAGCACGGTTCTGCCACCATGTGACAGTGCTTCTACTCTCTATGCCTCCCAAAATCCAGCCTCTCCATTGCCCGAGGGAAAACCATGGCAGCTTCACTGCAAGGCACCCTCTTCACCCGTGGAAGTAAGGGCAGGATTACCCCCCAAAAGAAGAGAGGGCTGTTCAAACATCCTGGGACGGAACATCAGATGTGTCAAACAGAAAGTACTGTATTTACAAATGAAGAGCAAATGAATTCAACTATAAAAAGAATGCTTAGCACTTCGAAATGTCACCGTACTGCGAAAATAGCAGCTTCTTTATGAATTTCAAAGGAATAAAGAATGCAGCTATTAGAAAGGACTGGCCATTCCTACTGTATGTACAGACTTGGGCAGCTGAACTAGCCTGGGCCAATTCCAGGTGAAATCTCTGGTTTTGGTTAATGATGTTTTCAAACCTGCTTACATTATCAGAGTCATGGCAATGTGATTAGGGTAAAGGGAAAAGCCAAGGGTATTCCTCAGAGACCAAAAGGGAGTTTTGTTCCCTCACAGGAAGGGCTGCTGGGACCAAACGTTCTAACAGATCAGTGTTCAGACCTGCGCTGATGCAATGAACTTTGGCTCTTTCAAAGTCTCAGTCCTTCCAGCTGCCACTCAACACCCAGGTCAGAATGAGTCAAAACAACTTGACTGATATTCTTTGACAAACTGCAGTGAGCAAGATCAGAGTGAAAACTCTGCTGAGACCTTAACAGCCTCTCCCTGGCCTTCTGTGCTTTAAGTTTGAAGGAACCACACTGAAGACAATTAACAAGCGACACATACAAACTCGCTATCCTTGACTTGGGAAAAGGAAAACTAAAATCACTCGTCTATCTGTCCTGCCCTCAAAATTATTCTGTCCCTGAACTCCAGCCATCAAAAAAATAACTAAAGAAGAAATACTAACAAAAAGTTAATTAGTAAACAAGCAGAAATTGAAGGATTTGGGCTGCAGATTCCTCATGACCAGAGTTCAGGAGTTCCTCCCTCCTTTGAAAGCCTCTCCATCTTGGAGAAAGTGTCTCTTTAATCCAAGCTAATATTTCTCTCTCTGTTGCTGAGCACAGGGGAGGAAGCAGGGTAGCTTGTATTACAGAATTTACAGCAACTCTTTGAACACGTAAAAGGAGCTGCATTTGTCTGCTTTTTACTATCACAAAGTCTGCCTAGCACCCAAAAGGCAGGTTGACCCAATCCCCAGAACCAACCCAAGAGCAAGTGGTGTGTTCACTGTGCAAAACATGGCAGCATAAAAAAAAAAGGAGAAGGAATTATTAGAGGGAAAGAGTGAGTGAAAATAAAGAAGAAACGGGAGCTGGGCCAAATGAAGACAAAGCAATGCACTTAACCCACCTGGAGAGCAAAACAGGGCATCAAGTCTGTGTTAGCCAATCACCTGGGGTTTGCGACAGGGAGGAAAATCCACATGGGTTCATTTGGCCGAAGAGCGTTTCACAAACCTTTACAGTGCTGCTATGAAAGCTCTCAGAATCGTCCCACGTTCCCTGTCAGACTGTGCAGATTGGCTGCTGGAGTGGTGGTGGGGAGGGGGTGGACTGGCTGGTGGTTTGGTGGGGGCGGGGGGGATTCGCTGGGAGGGGAGGGTTGTTCAGAAATTATGTTTTTTAGCTGCATATACTGAATGAAGAAAACAGTTTATTCCTTTTGGGTCATGTGAGAGAGCCGCTGGCAAAGATAATAATATACGAGGCAACAGAATAAGAGAGAGAGAGAGAGAAGCAAAAGGCTTTCTATTATTCGGGACACCGGTGATGCACACTGAAGCAGTCGGAAGATTAAATTAAGTATTATATCTGCTGACCCCATTGCCATGGTTACCGGACAGCGGAAAATATTAATCAAGCCAAGCCTTTTCAGCTGAACATACTAGAAAAAATGCTAAATATATATGTATATACTTGCTGCTTTGCTGTGCTAATGTAGAACACCAGCGACTGAACCACCTGATATTGTCAAGATAAATAAATTAAAAATATTCTTCTCTCTCTGCGAAGGCTTACGTCACTGTGGAGAGCGTAGCATCGGGAACGGAGCCTGCAGTGCGCTTGCTTTCCCTTTAACTGATTTTAAAAACAATAATGAACTATAAAGTCTGGTTTGATTGCAATGTCGAGGGTGTATTTAAGGCTCTCGTCTCATAGGAAATCTAGCCACAAACTAACCCACTGGTAAGGCATCATCCACATTGAAATATGACGCTCAGGATTATTGTAAAAATAAAAAAGTCTCTGTAACCATGAGGTTGATAAGATTGTACAGGGATTCCATTCTGCCCCTTACTGCAAGACCAGAGAACTCAGATCCCCACACTGCCACTCAGGGTTAGAATTGAGTCTACTGTACAAGCTATGAATTTCAGCACCATTAACATTTGACTGCTCCTCAACACCAAATTTTGCCTCTTCACAGACCACTGCCACCCAGAGGAGATAAAAGATGTTTCCCACAGACTTTACACCTGCTCACTATTCCCAAGAGTAAAAGCCAGAGCTAGTATTCTAAGCTAATATGGCTGCAATCTTAAGGATGCTATATATGCTGGCAAATCTTCACTATTCCTCTATGTCGCATGCCTAATCTGCAGTAGGTTGGGTATGTTTAGTTTTCTGTGACTCTGCCATGGACCCTGTTTGTCTGACAAATGCAGTGTATAATATGGTGCTAAAAGATGGTATCCAAGGCAGTAGAAAAACTGGTATAATATATTGGATTATATATTGATCCTGTAATTAAAAAGACTGTATTGTAATGCACAAAAAACACTGGTCAGAGTAAGGCTTCCTGTGCAACCCTAATGTTGGCATTTCCTGACTCTTGAGTCCTTGCCCATGCACCTGCACCCCTAACCATCTCTTAAAACAGCTTCCTATATGGGATTTTCTAGATTTTCTAAAAAGAAAAAATATTAGAGAAGAAAAAAAATGAAAAAAATCACCACCACTAGTAATCTTCTATCACACCTTCTGCCCACATAGCAAAACCAAAGGGGGATAGGGAAACTGAGGAAGAGAGATTAGTTTGTTTGCTCACAGTGAGTGAGATAGGAAGTCAGTAGTAGAGCTAGAAAAGGAATCCAAAAGAACTCCAGTCTGCTACTCTATCCACTTGACTACGCTTCATGTCATACATCTCCCATACTAAAAGAAGATTATTTTCTGGAGCTGCTGGGGAATTTTTCAGCAAAATGTTTTTCCGTTGGAAAATGCTGATTTATCAAAACTGGAACTTTTCCTGGAAATATATCAATTTAGAAAAAATGTTTGTTGGGAAAGTGTCCCAGGTCCAGGAAAGACTTTCTGGACAAAATAAGAGACCCAAAGATCCCAAAATAGCCAGGAGTCCAGTGGTTAGTGCACTCATCTTGGAATCAGAGGTCAAGTCCTTGCTATGCCTGATTCAGAGCAGCTCCTGGGTCTGCTACCTTCCAGGCAGTGCCAGGGCATTGGCTACTCTGTGGTGACACTCTCTCTCCAGCCCAACGTGCCCTCACCACAGCACTAGAGCATCAGTCTGCAGCTCTCTGGACCAATGAATAGTTAACGATTTATACAAAGTGGAACAGCTCCAACAGGAGAGATTAAGCAAGCGAGAGACTGCCTCTGTAACCTGATGGATAGGGCATTCACCTAGGACGTGAGAGACTCAAAGTCAATTTCCTGTCAACAAGAACTCGAAACAGGGTCTCCCAAATCCCAGTTGAGTGCTCTAACCACTAGGCTACTGGTTATTCCACGGTGGGCCTTTCTCATCATGAAAAAATTTGAAAGGTTTCAGGTTTGTTCCACATCAAAATGGAAACAAATCTCAAAATCTTTCACAAAATATAAATTCTGTGTTTTGACCAGCTCTGCTATTTTCATCATGGTCACCTTTCCTTAGTCTCACTACTTGCAATCCCTCATTGGTTTACATATGGGTTTTATGTGCAGGTGCTGCTGACCTGCCTCTACAAGTAACAAACGTACAGAGGATGTTTTGGCAATAGCGACCCAGGGCGTTCTGTTTTCAGGTTCACAGATATAAAGATGAGGCACTGCCAGAGACTGAAGTGACAAGAGAAGAGGTACTAGAACACACCGATAAACTAAGGAGCAATAAATTGCAAGGACCAGGAAAAGGTAAGAATTTTGAAAGAATTTAAGAATGAAGTGGCTGATCTGCTAACAAAAATATGCAATCCCTCCTTAAAATTAGCTACCATATGAGAGCACTGGAGGGTAGCACGTGCACCTAGCTTAAAAAAAAAGCCACTAAAGGTGATTCCAGAAATTACAGACCAGCAGGCTTTGTACCAAGTTTTAAGTAAATTGGCTGAAATTATCAAAATAGAATGATAAACTATCTGGATAAATATGGTATGATAGGACAAACCAGCATGATTTCTTTAAAGGAAAATTGTGCCTCTCTAATCTATCAGAACTCTTTGAGTGTGTCAACACAAAGATGAATAAGAGATGGTATGATAGAAGAGTACAAAATAATGAGCAGTACTGAAAACGTAAACTGGGCACTCACATATACTCCCTTATAATAAAAGGCAACACATTTAAAACTGATAAAAGAAAATACTTTTTTACTTAACACATCATATTTGGAAGCTGATCAACTCACAACTCTTGTGATGCTAATGTGCCTCTGTAACCCATCACATACTGTTTATGGAGAAGAGAACCCCTAAACTGGAGGAGGTTTGAAACTGGAAAGAGATACAGAACGTTTTATAGTTGGCCCGAAAATCCTGTGAACGTGTATTTAATACACTGATTCACACAAATACACCTGTAAACACACTAACAAGCAGAAACTGATGCTTGTACCCACACTGAAACACAAACAGGCTGATGTGCTCACATACACACACAAATGTGCGCGCGTGCACACACACACACAATCTCTTGTCCTTTACTTTTAGAGAGGAATTTTGGCAAAAATTAGGGATAATAAAATATATTCTATTGGGATTTGCAAAATGCTGCAGATTGAGATAATGTATTTAACTTTTTGTATAAATATTTTTAAACAGGAACAAAATCTTATGGCTGAATTAAGATGACCTAAAACACAATGCCAAATTTATGGAAGGCATAAACAAGTAGGCTTATTTCATTAAAAAAAATGTTAATAAAGACTGAGATTCCTATTTGTTCTTGATCCACTCTGATTTTAGCAATGGTTCTAGTGATAATTATTGACTGTCTATATTTAGAGAAAAACAGCACATATGGCAATAACAGGGCAATCTAATATCTAGCCCCTCAGCTACGTATTTTCTATAATTTATGAAATCCAGTAATTGTAACAAATTATTCAATCCGTTTGAAACTAGATAGATATCAATACGTAACAACTAGGCATGCCATTTACTCATTACAGCTCTCGAGATGGAAAATATCTCCCCATTAATCCTTAACATAAATGAAGCAAACAAGCAAGCAAACAAAAAACGATGTTCACCTTTCAACCCACATGGTGTGGGCGCTTCCTAAGATGTACTTACTGACACTCAAGAGGGATGCCAAGTGTCAGCCAAGTGGGCTCACACGATAATCAACAGTCACGTCTACTTCAAGTACATATACATTCATCGATACATGATGGTACATTCGTGGCCGAATTTTACCCAAATGTCACTCCTACCCGAATACACAGCCCCACATGTCCCCACCTGATTGCCCACAGGACAGGAAACTTTGTAAGGTCTTCCTGACATTCCCCAGGACTCACAAGCCCTATCCAGGCAGGGACCTTAGTCATTCACACAGTCTCTGCCGCCTTATAATGATTTTGAATTTTTTCTACTATTTCGGTCATTGTCAAGCTCCCTCCCTGTAAACCCTGTAAATCACAGGGGAAAGCTGAGTACAGCACGAGATGGAAGGCCAACAAAAATATCACCCAGAGTTTTCAATCTTAGAACAAAAAGAACAGGAGTACTTGTGGCACCTTAGAGACTAACAAATTTATTAGAGCATAAGCTTTTGTGGACTACAGCCCACTTCTTCAGATGCATATCTTAGAATCTTAGAACCTTCATGAGGATTTCCCGTTTGTATAGCCCTCCCCCTCAAACAAAGAAACAAGACCCAAAATAAAACCAAGATGCAAGATGGCTTGGACCACTCACTGTCTGGCCAGCAATCCATTCCTGGCTGGGAAAATGATTACTACACAATGGCCAGCGTGGATGGCTTAGGGCAGCTGTGTCATATAAATTGTCAGCAATGACCATAAGCACTCAGAGAAACAATTTAATTCTTCACTCCCGCCATCATGGGCTGATATATTCTTTCAAGGTCATTACCCAAGGCTAGGAGGGTCACATGATTAACGAGTGACATGTCCAATGAGGGCTGGTGTGCTTGAGCAGGTCTTATATTAATTAGACTGAACCACTGGAAAATAAATGTTGCCAAGAAGGGAGGGGCCACATGTGAAACCTGATCTC